TATATATATATATATATATATATATATATATATATATATATATATATATATATATATATATATATATATATATATATATATATATATATATATATATATATATATATATATATATATATACACTCATACATGCACCTTTATCTAGCAAGGTACTAGTGAATTACCTATACGAAACTAGATTACAAAGCATTCCCATCATCTTCGACCTCTCTTCTATGCATACACATAATTGAACTACACATAATTATTTTTGGATTGGGTGAACATCTAGATTTTGGTTGATAACGTCCAATTAGGTTGGTGTAACTGAGAATATTGGATTGGGATCTTTGTGTGTTTCAAATAAGAAAACTAAGGTGGGGTTTTCCTTTAAGATCTATGTGATTTGAAGGTTTTGGACAAGATCGCGTCAACACAGATTCAACCGAGTGAAGGCCTTGGGACAAGGTGGTTTCCTTGCAAGGGAGTAGCGCGAGACAGTGAATTGTGTTCGGGAATATTGGGTCCAACAAGGGCGTGCTTGGGATAATAAGAGGATTGTAGTCTCATTATTGGTGAATTGATCAAGCTTTGATCAAGGGTTTGAAGGTGGTTGAATCAACAATAAATCATAAGATTTGTAGAGTTAGAGTTCTTCACCTCTTGTATAAACATTTTTGTAAAGACAAGGTTAATTATAAGTATCTCAACTCAATTTCAGATTAAGGGTAGATGTAGCCATAGCGAGGTCGATTGGGGAACTTCCTAAACAAATATTTGTGTCTCTTTATCACTTTATTATCTTTAGTTGTTCATACAAATTATTGATTTCATAGTTGTTTCGATTAATTTGATTGGAAATTGTTTTCAACTATCTTTAAAAGTTTTGTTGTTTATATAATCACAATCACTTTGATTGTGATTGGATTTTTACATCAACAAAACAAATCAAATTTCCAAACATGACCAATCGCACACAAAGTGTTCAATATATTGTTTTATGTATTTTATCGCTTTGTGTTAATTGGAAATAAGCATTACGAATAGCTTTGAATTTGATTGATATATGACTTGATCATTGTTGAACAATTTGTGTTCATTATCATTCCATAAGGTTTACGTTGCGCATATAGCTTTTCGATAGTAGGTTCGGTTATGCGATTCAACTCAGATTATTTTCCCGCTGTGCCATAGTTTTGAAGAAAATTTTTTTTCCAAGAGTTTATGGTTTTAAATTTGTGATTTATTCATCCTCTATAGATCAAAGCTTATCGTCTAACAGATGGTGGATCAATGTTGTTGGGAAACAACAAAGCCTGCCAAACTGTAGGAATTGGATATATGAGTTTCAAGCTCCATGATGAGTCAGTAAAGTTGTTGATTAGTGTCAACTATGTACCTGATTTGAAGAGACATTAGATTTCTCTTGGTGAATTGGACAAGAAGGGATATGTTTTCAAAGGAGTTCAAGGTATCATAAGAGTCATGAAAAGGTCAAAGAAAGTCTTGAGAGGTGTGAAGAAACAAGGCTTGTTTACCCTTGAGGTTGAGTTTGTAAATCGATAAACAAACTTTTCCTCCATAAAACCTATGTCGAAGATAGAATTGTGGCATATGAGGTTGGACCATGTCAGTGAAAGAGGTCTTTTTGAACTAGGGAAATAGAATTTTCTAGGTATCGACAAAGTCAAAAAGTTGGAGTTCTATGTAACTTGTGTGTTTGGTAAATCATGTAGAGTTAAGTTTAATTAAGGAAAACAAAGAACACATACATCCCTTAATTACATTCATGATGATCTTTGGGGGCCTGCAAGGAATCCTTCACACTCAGGTGCAAAGTATTTTCTATGCATAGTTGATGATTATTCCAAAAAGTTATGGGTATTCACCCAGGAGACTAAGGATGAAAATTTTGAAAATTTCAAAAGTCGGAAGACTTTGGTTGAAAATCAGACTAATAGGAAGGTCAAGAAGTTGAGAGCCGATAATGACTATGAGTTTTGTAATGAAGCTTTTGATATTTATTGTAGTATGTCTGGTATTGCAAGGCATAAGACTACTACGAGTACTCCTTAGCAAAATGGCCTGACTGAGAGATTCAATTGAACAATCCAGAAAAGTGTTAGATGCAAGCTGGTTAGCATTGGATTGAAGAAGGTGTTTTGAGATGAGGTTGCTGTGACTGCAACAAAATTGATATTTTGTAAGCGTTCCTCGACTGCCTTAGGGATGAAGACACCTAAAGAAGTATGATTAGAACATCCACCTAATCTCGACAGACTTAGAGTATTTGACTATGTAGCCTATGCTCACGTTAGGCAAGATAAGGTTGAACATAAAGCTCTGAGATGCATGTTCATGGGGTATCCTGATGAAGTAAAAGCCTATAGGTCCTGGTGCCTAGAACCAGGTCACAAGAGGTATATAACAAGTCGTGATGTGGTTTTCTATGGAGCAAAAGTAACATTTAATAAAACTGATGATGTTGGTCGAAATACAAACATCTCTATAGAAGAGTTGGAATAGGAAAATATTCATGTTGAACTGGAGAAAATTGATGTTGAATTGCATAACCCAAATGAAGTAGAGGAAGTACCACATGATGCTGAAGAAACTGATAAAACTGTTGATAACTACCTACTAGCAAGAGACAGGTCGAGAATAGTCATTAAGCCACCTCAAAGACTTAGTTATGCAGATCTCATGGCTTTTTCCTTAATCCCTGCAAGTGAGGTTCTTGATGAAGAACCTAGAGATTACAAGGAAGATACGAGGAGTCGAAACAAAGTTGAATGGGTGAAAGCCATGGATGATGATATGAAATCTCTTCATGATAACCACACTTGGTAGATTATCGAGAAACCTACTAGAGCCTGGTTAGTCAATTATAAGTGGATTTTTAAGGTTAAGGAAGGAATCAAAGGAGTGACGTCAAAGAGGTTTAAGACAAGGTTGGTTGCTAGAGGGTTCGCTTAGAAACAAGGAGTCGACTTCAATGATGTTTTCTCACTTGTTGTAAAGAACATATCCATTAGAATTTTATTGGCCCTTGTGGTAAAGCTCGACTTAGAACTCGATTAGATGGATGTAAAAACAGACTTCTTGTATGGTGATCTAAATGAAATAATCCTGATGAGGCAACCTGAAGGGTATGCAGAAAATGGAAAGGAAGATTATGTGTGCAAGTTGAATAGGTCATTATATAGCCTGAAACAACCTCCTCGATATGGAATAGGAGATTTGACAAGTTCATGGCACAAATAGGTTTCACTAGGAGATAGTTTAACCACTCAGTTTACCTCAGATTTTGACTTGGAGGTTCACTTGCTATTTTGTTGCTTTATATGGATAAAATCCTTATAGAAAGCAATAATGTCGAGGATGTTATGAAGGTAAAAGATAAAGTGGATAAGTAGTTTGACATGAAGGATCTAGGATATGCCACCAGGATTCTTGGGATTGACATCCAGAGAGATAGAAGATAGTCGATATTATGCTTATCTCAAGATACATACCTGAAGAATATTCTTAAAAAATTTGATATGTCGAATTCAAAACCTGTGGTAACACCGACAAATTCTCAATTCAAGTAGTGTACAACTCAAAATCCTAGTACTAAAGTTAAAAGATCCTACATGAATAACATCATGTATGTTAGTATAGTAGATTCGTTGATGTATGATATGGTTTGTACGAGGCCAGATATAACGTATAGAGTAAGCCATACATGCTGGTATATGACCAATCTTGGGAAGGCACACTGGAAAGCTTTAAAGCGGTTTCTAAGACATGCAAAAGGATCCCTGTGTAAGGTCTTGGTTTATGGTGGATCCATGAGTGATGTTAAAGCCAGAGTCAAAGGATTTGTCGACTTTGACTATGTAGGATGTATGGATACTAGAAAATCAATTTATAGATATGTTTTCACAATGTTTGGCACAAGAATCAGTTGGAAAACTTCTCTTCAAAAGGTTGTTGCCTTATCAACCAATAAATTCAAATATATTACCCCCATTGAAGTTATGAAATAAGCATTGTGTCTTGAAGGGTTTGTCAAGGAACTGAAACTTCAAGGTCAAGTTATCACTGTTAAATGTCATAGTCAAAGCTCCATAAATCTGTCGAAGAATTCAGCCTATCATGAAATAACTAATCACATTGATGTTAGGATGCATTTCGCCAGAGAGAAAATCGAGAGTGGAGAAGTGAAAGTGATGAAGCTTTCAACAAATCACAATGTTGTAGATATGATATCCAATTCATTGTCAAGTAGCAAGTTCCTCCACTATATGCAGCTGATAAATTTGCATGATGAAAGCTAGTTTATTCCCTTGATGTTGTAAAGTTTGTTCCAAGGTGGGTATTTGTGGTATTTTGGATCGAAATCTAGTCTCGATAGAGATAACTTCATGTTTCGACAGAGTTGTACATGTTATAGTCGAAGTATGTTCAAGCATGAAATTTTCTAAGTTAACTTGTTAGTTAAGTTAGCTTAGTGCTTAATTTAGCCTAGTAGTCTATAAATACCATATATACCATATTCAATGTATGGTATTTTGCTACTAAGATCCATTTAGTTCATTTTACAATTCATATTCTAAAAAGTCATTTGTATGTCACACCCATTATATACACCATATGTATGTATACAAATGAATATAAAAAATACTCATTAGTAAATGATATTATGAGTAAATATTTTAATATATTTTTTATCTACTTATGAATAACTTCGAACATAGTTTTATTTTTTGTCTAAAAAATACTACATATATAAGATAGGGAATATCAATATATGTTTGTGGTTGTGGTTGTTACATTACTAAATTAATAACTACTAAAAACTAATGTAACATGCGGAGAGCCATTGAAACATTGCCAAATCTAACAACCAATCTAGTTTCCTTTCCACCACAATTATTGCAATGTCTCCAAAAGCAAGAAGAAAAAAAGGAAAAGAAACACCTCTTAAAGGAATAAAGAAAATTTAATAACAAAAAGTTGTGAGAGTGAAAGAGAAAATGGGTTCCTACACCTTATTCTCTTCCATTCTCTATTTTTTCCTCCTAGCTACATTGGTCACATCTTCTCCATTCCTATCATGTACATTACTTTCTTTCATGTTAAACCATTTTTCATCATATAAATAATGTCACACACCTCTCTGAAAAAAGTGTCTGTATCCGTATTCGAGTCGAATACATACACCACCGACGTTTATGATTATGTTTATTTTATTTATTTTTAAAACTTATTATCAATATTGTCGCGTCAGTATCGGAGTTGTGTCATAGATAATGTGGCATATGATAAATTATGAATATATAGATAATGAAATTTGTTAATATTGGATTAATTTGGTTTCAATTTTTTTTACACAGATGACATATTTGATTCTGGTGCATCCACTAGTCGTTCCCTCTTACAAGCTAAGAATGGTAATTAACAAACTGTTATGCATGTCCCTCTTTTGATTTCTCTATGAATTACTTTTGATTTCTCTATGAATTAATCGTATTTTAATCATAAAAATATTAATCTTGTTTTTAGTATTTTTTGTTTTTCATGTTCAGGCTCAGTTTCAGTTTGATTTATCTGTTATTTAAACATAACGTTTCAATTATTTGAATTGTGCAGCTTGCACACTTGATTTTGAGAGCAAGAACTTCACAATCCTAACAAGTCAATGTAAAGGACCACAATACCCTGCAAAGATTTGTTGTGATGCATTGAAACAATTTGCTTGTCCATTTGCTGACAACATCAATGACTTGTCAACTGATTGTGCTGAAGTTATGTTTAGTTACATAAATCTTTATGGAAAATATCCACCTGGATTATTCGCTAATGAGTGCAAAGAAGGAAATTTAGGGCTTGAATGTTCAGATGTTAAGAATACTACTACTTCTAGTAGTGTTCTTGTGGCTGCTCCCCACTCTATGAAGATGGTTTCAATTATTGGTTTTGTTGGATTTGTTTTCCATTTGTTTTGAAGACAGAAAATGTGAAGAAAGAAAAAGATTTATTGTAAGAGTTAAGTGAGATTCACCTTTCATGTGTGATGGTGAAGAATTTTCATTTTAAGAAGTAAGAAAAGTATATTAATTATTAATTTTTATAGTTATTCTTGTTTTTGTTTTTATGTGTACTTCATTATAGTACAAAGTATAAGGTGTGGATTCTGAAAATAGAGTCCCTAAAATCAAATGTAGATTGTAGAAAGATCACATTTATCCAATTTTTATGAATAGTTTTTTAATGTTTTATTTATGGTTTAATAATTCTTTTTCTCGTACGTTAATTATATGATTCATTTTGATCCTTTAATTTAAAAAACATATTTTTTTAGTATTTCAATTTTACAATAACTAGTATTGAGTAGTATGATTACGATTATATAATAAGTACACTCTTCATAATACATCCAGTAATATTTAAATTTGTTTATCAGTATTATTGTAATTCATTTTTAAAAAGTTATTCAGATCAATTAAATCTAAAATTTAAAATTATCACCATTGTTAAACAATAAACAAAAAATTAAACATGCTTGACTTTTTTTTTTTTACATGTGTTTTAGTTCTTATTTCTAGTATTATATTTTCTTACCATTGTTAAATAATAAACAAAAATTTTAACATACCTGAAATATACAGTAATATACAATGTTATAATACTCTATGGATGAATGAAAAAGAATTTCTTTTGACGACATATACTAATGAAATTCTTTTAAAACCTTTTTGTCTATGTTGTTAATTGTGTGTATATTATATGCTAATTTAGTTGATGTGACACAATACTCAGTATGTTAATTGTAGTATGAAAAGTGGTCATGGAGTTGGTGATATGTCTATCTTATAGCATATAATTTTTAATGTTTGGCCTAACAATTATATTGATTATTGGAGAGGATTCTCTAAATCTCATGGGCTATTTCTCCATCATTGAGAAAAGTCACAATTGTTCCAAGAATCTAGAGATAAATCTTCTTGTTTTGATATATTATTTTTACGTAATCATCAATGCAAATTGGTGAGAAATTTTAATTTTACTAAAATTTAATTTAGAGATTAATCTTCATATTAACATTAGGGTGAGTCTAGAGATACGTTTGCATAATAACCTTTAATTCAAAACTTAGTGAGTTTTATGTTGACGCATCTTCAAAATATGTTTTGTTAGGTCAAATCAGGAACAATTACAGAATGTTGAACAAATAACACAAATTAACATTCAAATACTTAAGTAAGTAAAAACAATAGAACACACAAAGATTTATCCTGGTTTCTCCTAAATTGAGAGTAGTTCAGTCCCCTTGCAGCACAATAGATTTTCCACTATAATCAAAACATGATTACAACTGCTTATGCACTTACGCATAAGACTTTTCTTCTCGCACCCTCAGCCTGAGGCTTTCTGCTTAAACTCCTCAGGTTTAAGACTTACTACTTAGACCCACAACTCAAGACTTTCTTGCTCATATTCCATGAATCCAAGAATTCCTTGCTTAAACCCCTCAGGTTCAAGACTTCTACTTAGATCTTCGGTCCAAGACTTCCCTACTTAGATTCCATGAATCCAAGACTTTTGCTCATACCTCTAATCCAAGACTTCCTTGCTTAGATTCCATGATTTTAATACTTCCTTGCTCCAACCCCTCAGGTTCAAGGCTCTTGCTTAGACCTCCAGTTCAAGACTTTCTTTCTTAATCAACAAATAATCAAGACTTCAATGCTTTAGCACATAACATGAGACTTACTTGGCTCAAGCTTCATAGCAAAAGAATTTATCTAAACTACTAAACAACTTATTTATTAGAATAAAGAACAAGGTGTACTTGATACATAATCAAAGGTACAAGGTAATAACCATAACAAAAATCACAACACTTAAGATTTCTAAGATATTCAATGTTTATGAAATATTAAGGCTTTGTACAATTTACATCATGTAACAGAAAGCTGGCATACTCAATTGTGTTGCTATTGTTGATCTTGTTATTCTTCCATTCTAATTGAAGTGTGGGATGCTTCTATTCTTCTTGGCTCTCCTTCTTTATTTCCTTGTTCCTTGTTGAAAATCCAGATTGAATCTTTAGCTACTTATATAGAATTTGTAGAAGAATATCCGTTGGAAAAGATAACTTGTACAAGTGTCTTTGTTTCTCGATAGTACCAAGAGACTTTGAAGGTAGATATGCCAAAAGATCTTTATCTATTATGTAACTTGTTTAACCATTGCGTCTTCCTTGTGATCTTGTACTACAGATCTGCTGAGAGTAGATATTCGTAAAACATGTCAACTCTTCTTGAGCCTTGTGAATACAGACTCTAGCTGGCAAACTAGTTTGACATTGTAGCTTGCTTTCTACAGTACAAATAACTTAGCTTTGTCACCGATTTTGAATGATCACCAAAAGCTAATATATTTAATAAGTGTAGAGAAAATATATTTCTCTTCTGATGTTGTGGTCTTCAACTTCAGAGTTTATGCAAACCTATATTATCAGACTCCACTTAAAGAACGTTCGTCAAATTCTGAACCACCAGAAGCCAATAACTCAACTTCTTCAGACCTCACTCTATGAAGATGGTTTCAACTATTAGTTTTGTTGGATTTGTTTTCCATTTGTTTTGAAGACAGAAAATGTGAAGAAAGAAAAAAATTTATTGTAAGAGTTGAGTGAGATGCACCTTTTATGTATGATGGTGGAGAATTTTCATTTTAAGAAGTAAGAAAAGTATATTAATTATTATTTTTTATAGTTTGTACATCTTTTTATTTTTATGTGTACTTGATTATGGTACAAAGTATAAGGTGTGGATTCTAAAAATAGATTCCCTAAAATCAAATATTGATTGTAGAAAGATCAATTTTTATGAATAGTTTACAATGTTTTATTTATGATTTAATTTTTTTTCCGAATGTTAGTTATAGAATTCATTTTAATCCTTTAGTTTAGATCCATCAGAAACTGCATCTTCAAAACTTGGGAAATATTTTCGAATTTTCAGATAGTGTTTTTTAACCTCGCATGTACGGCTAGAAATTCCCATTTAAAAAACATATCTTTTCTAATATTTCAATTTTACAATAACTAGTATATATATATATATATATATATATATATATATATATATATATATATATATATATATATATATATATATATATATATATATATATATATATATATATATATATATATATATATATATATATATATATATATATATATATATATATATATATATATATATATATATATATATATATATATATATATATATATATATATATATATATATATATATATATATATATATATATATATATATATATATATATATATATATATATATATATATATATATATATATATATATATATATATATATATATATATATATATATATATATATATATATATATATATATATATATATAAAAGTACCCTCTTATAGATATCAAGTAATATAAGTTTTGATTATCAATATTATCATAATTCACTTTTAAAAAGTTATTCACATCGATTAAATTTATAATTTAATATTATCATCATTGTTAAATAATAAGCAAAAATTTAAACATACTTGACTTTTTTTTTATGAGTTTTAGTTCTTATTTCTATTATTATATATATATATTTATCATTGTTAAATAATAAAAAAAATTTAAACATACCTGAAATATATTTGTGATGATGCCAAAATATCATTTTAGCTCAAATTTAACAATAGCACAATTTGATGTGACTTGTCATACCCCAAATTTTACCCTTAGGTTCCTTGATCCTTTGCATATCATCTTAGGTCAATCATACATGCATGAGCTAACTGTTTTATCTAGTTTGTGTTTTGTTTTATAGGTTTGCTGAAGAAAGTTTGAAAGCCATGAAGCTCTGTGTGTATTCCCATCAGGATTCCATGCCCATACAAGTTGTGTTGATTTCCCGTGGGTAAAGAAAGACTATGCCCTCATGATTAAGTAGTTATAATGTGATCCGAGGCCTAAAGCGTTTGATGGCATCATTTCTGAAGTAATTCATCCATAAAGTGCATGACATGTTGGAATTAAGATCATAAACCCATCATGATTGGGTCTTTGTGCTTCAAGGTGGTATAAAGCCATGATTAAAGTCGAGTCTTCAAATCATTTCTAAGTTTTTAAGTCACATTTGATTTCAAAGATTACTCGTGGCTCCAAGATGTTTTAATATAACTAAGACGTTTCTAGGTCGATCATAAAAGAATATCTCAAGGAAATGTTGGTTATGCCTCAGGTTATTTTTCAAAGGTCATATGGTTCCATGCGTGATTGAGTCATTTGAGAATGGCGACGTGGTTGCCTTTAGTTTTCATTAAATCCTTAAATTTTTTTCACAAAGATACGTTCAATCCGGACCCTTATTTGGATCAACGCTTCAAAGATATCTTTGTTCGCTCTCGTGGTCCGAATCAAACTCAAGTTATAGTTTTTTTATGGTTCAAAGTTGCAAAGAAAAAGATTTGTAAAGTTATATTATTTTCATGTGGTTATGATTCAAGATTCCAAACAAGGTTATAAGCTTAAGAGTAACTTTTAAACAATGATCAAGATGCAATGTCATTGTTGGGTGATTTTCATGTACAGTTATGAGTTTGAGATGTTTTTCTAAGAGATATTTCCAATTTACCCACACAAAAGGCCTAGAGTGAAATCCAAAACCAAGCCAAGCCTACTTCTTATTACATTCATCCAAGACCATACAAGATATCTAAGCTTCAAATTTAAGAAATTTTTAAAGAAAGTTCAATCATACAAAGTGATACAAAGAAAATTCAAGTCCAAAATCACATTTAGTCCAAGTTCTCCACAAGATTCGAGAAGAAATCCAGTATCAAAGTTATTGTAGTTTCAAGTTCAAACTTAATTCAAGAATGTACACCCAAAGTTGTTATTCATACAAGATCATCTCTTAAACAATAAGAGTTCACATTGCACAAAATTC